CAAGGCCTGCAGGAAACGCGTGCTCTGGGAATGCCAGTAATCAATGCATGATTGCAGGTCCGGCTTCAACTCTAACCGGATGGGCATGATGCCTGAGTCATGCAACACAAGGGCAGATGTTCGGGCCTCCCAAGTGCCGTGAAATGCTGGGATGTTGGCCCGATGAAGCAAAAATTCGGCGAATGGCACTGCATCCTGTTGCGCATGTATATCGGCTTGGACACTTCGAAGCCAGTCACGCGTGAATGTGTGCCATGGCATGCAGCTAGTTAATGCGAGCTTACGATCCGCCTTTAATGACCCAAAAGCCGCTTGCATCACGCCATAAGGCGACGGCAGGTCAAGGGAACAGGCCTGCACAAGCCAATGTATGAGCGTGACAGCTGCATTCATGTAGCAAATCTGGCCCGGGTTCAACAGAATGGGACAAGCTGGGGTTCCTGCTGGCCATGCTCTCAAAGGTCCTCGTCCTTCCTGTTGCTCTGACTGGCTGCCTGCAACAGTCCTGATGTCAGCTGTTCCAAGGTCACCGCCAGAGGTTGGCGGCGCTGACGATGCGGGCGAATGCGCGATCCGATCAGCCTCATCGCGCTGAGGTCTGAGAGCTTCTGAAAGAGTTCGTACAGCTCCTGTGCCAGAGGTCCTCGATTGCTGACCATCAACATGAAGGGCAACACGTTGCTCTTGTATTCCGCTGCCTGAGGCCTTGTAGAGTGGAACTTCTGAATGAGGATTGTCTCGGGAATCAACTGCAGCACTCGCTGAATGATGTGCAGCGCGTCCTTGTGCTGGAGGCCGACCTTTCCCGCGTCCACGACCACGGTTTCTGTGGCCGGGTCCCATTTCTGATAGCTCCAGGTTGCCGGATCGGACTCGCTGAGCCATGAGTGCTTGGAGAGGGTCGCGCGCTTGTCCTCCTTGAGAGCCATGTTCATGCGCTCGCGCAGCTCCATGAAGAGCGCCGTCAGCAGCGTGACTCGAAGGCTCTGTGTCAAGGACTCCGGGCTGTCGCGCTTCTTCGTCTGCCATGTCTGAGTGACCTGATACAGGTTGGCTGTGA